TTTAAAAAGCATGAAGAAACTTTTATTCAGGGTGTATATATTTTAAAATAGAAAAAATTCCAAAGAATTTGCATCATCAATTTTAGAATCTAATAGGAACATGAATGAGAGATGAAGGGGGTAATCACATTATTCTAAAATGGATCTGTTGGTCCATATATTTTACTAAAATAATAAACAGATTTTTGACGCTATATAAACTTCTACAAATGCACAACAAATGGTTTAATAATTTAGGGATCGAATCCACGAATACCAAGTATCACACTACAATTTTTAGTGATGGAAGTTTAATAAACACTTCAAACATCAAAATGAATTCAGAAAATGTTTGCCGACATATGTAATTACATGCATATACAAAAACATATTTTGTAATTATAAATGAGACGAAAGCATTTTTGTGATGGTTAATATGTTTATAACATGTTTTGATCTAAAAATAACAAACCACATTTTATAATACCCAAATTTTTTAGGTTATCGGTTTACATGTGATAAGTTTTTTTGTTCCAAATGTATAAACAAATTCATTGATATAATTCCCAAATTTTCCAAATGTGACATTCCAACAGATAGTGTGCCATAACTTTTATATGTGAACATCTTTTTCTTTTTGTCTTTAAAATATAAGGTTTGCTAATAATCAAAATATTTAGTTTCTAAATCTAACCAACACTTATGAACATAGTATCTTTATCTATAATCATAGTTAACAATGATTTGTTGACTATATTGAGCAACATTGTTGAATATATTGATCAACATTTTAATCATATTGAGCACCATAGTTAACTAACAAATTAAGTTTATTAAGCAACATAGTTAATTACTCTCTCTGTTTTCTTTTAAACAATGTTTTCGAAGAAATTTGTTTTGTTTTAAATTAAGTGATGTTTTCGTTATTATATGCAAAGTTAATTGATCTTATATTGTTTTTGACAGTTTGAAATATGCATATTATTTTTCTACTTGTTAATTTTGTTTAAATAAATAACTATATGTCTCCCCACGTGGTACGCAAATTATATATTTTTAATTTTTAAATTATAATAAATTAGTAAACGTCGTATTATGGTTATATATTGCTATAATGTTCAATCTTTTGTTTTTTCGGTTTAAATATATATGTATAGACTAACCGACGATCCGAGCAAGTCTGAGGGTTTGACACTATCTGAGGAGGCTGAGTTGCTACGGGAAATCATCAACTTTAATTTTGACACGTCTATTGAGTATGATCCGTTAGAGGATGAAGGGGAGGAGTCCGCCAAGTCTGAACACGATATGGAGGTTGACTAGGTCACAAAAAGGGAGACTGAGATGTGTGAACTATGACATCCTACTCCCTTCTGTAGTTGTACACTTTGTCACCATCGCGGGACACTGCCGCTGTAACGCCCGTGAACCAAAAAGGGGATTTTTTGGGCATGTGTGTCGATCCACGGGGTAAAATCAGACCGACGGTTTCGGTTTCTGAATTGCCGGTTTGGGGAGCGGTTTAGGGGACACCCTAGGGTTTGTATAAAAGGACTGGAACAGACGCGTGTTGGTCTCATTTTGGCCGAAAATCAGAGAAAGAGGAGGATTCGAGAGAGAATCAAGAGAGGTTGTGAGTTGTGTGTGATTGAGGGTGAATGACAGCTTCTGTTCGAGTGTTTGAGAGGGCAAACGGCTGGGKAATTCGAGGKGGATTYGGGTGAYACTTTGAGGGTAAGTTRTCCGATCTKTGGTCTCBAWATGGGCGAAATCCGTTCGTCATTTCGTTGAATATTCGTTGAGTTATGGCTGTTTGAACTCGATAGGGTTGTGCAGACTTGTTGCTGCGATCAGTCGGCTTCGGGAAGGCTTTCTGATCGAACCAGAACGACTTAGGAGACGATCAGCCTATTTGTAGAAAGCTCTCTCTGTCTAGTTTCTAAATCAGGTTTCTGATCCTGATTCTGAGGTATTATCCGTTCCCGGTGTGCTTTCAAAGTCAGTATATTGTTCCTGTCTTCTAAAATCCTAATTCGGTTTAGGTGATTGTTGGAGGAGACGAACGGCTAGGCAAATCAGGTCGGATCGGGGTGAAACTTTGTGGGTAAGTTCTCCAATCCTTTTCTTGATGTGGGTGAAAACCGTTCGTCAATGGGTTGAGTATTTAGGGAGTTATGATCGTTTTAACTGGGTAGGTTTCTGCAGTTTTCTGCTGCGATCAGTCCACTTAGAGGGAGGATTTCCGTCGAACTAGAAAGAGTCTGGAGACGATCCGCATACCGACGTGTATCTTGTTCTGTCTAGTTTTCAGAACKATTTTTCGATTTGGATTTGGATAATCTGTTCGTCGTGTGCGGGGCGTTCTTGTAGGCGTCGTGTTCTTCATCTTTTRAATCCTTTCG